CCCCAAAACCCCAAAACCCCAAAACCCCAAAACCCCTTTATGTAAATTGGCTGTTGAAATTTAAGTATAGAGCAGTTAAAATTTAAATTCTTATTAAGAAATGGACTCGAATAAAAGCAGAAAGGTTCGCTCATATACTCCAGGCAATGCTAGGTAGGTTTGAGGTTTGAGATAATAGGCTCAAAAGCAAGAAGGAACAGATTAAGGTCAGTGTCAGGATGAGACCCATGCTTCAGCCATATGAAAGCGATTCTATCTGGCATGTTGATACTGATAGTAAGCTGGTATTCACTAATCTCTCCAAAAAGCAGTTTATGGAGCTTGATAATGGCTCTCCTTATGCTATGACTAAGGATGGAATTCGGAGTAGAAAACTAGTAGACCCTTCCCAAAACTTCTATTTTAATTTTGATAATGTATTCGATGAAAGTTCAACAACACCACAGATTTATCATACAATTGCTAGACCCATCACGAAAGCAGCTTTAAATGGATATAATGGATCTGTGTTTATGTATGGGCAGACAACATCTGGCAAAACCTACACAATGCTTGGAACACCCAAATCACCAGGAATACTTCCTTGCACTTTGAGAGATATATTCACACAAGTGAATAAAGACGTAGAGAATACTTATAAAATTTAAGATTTCATACCTTGAAATCTATAATGAGTCTATCAATGATCTTCTAGTCCCTGGGTCTTCCAACTTAAAAATCAAAGATGATAAAGAATTCGGGGTCAAGGTAGTCGGTCTCAAATCCCAGCAAGTCTGGACATTTGAGCAAGCTCTTATTCTGATGAATTATGGAGAAGAACATAGAGTTTATAAGGAGACCAGCATTCATGACCATTCTTCAAGGTCTCATACAATTTTCAGAATCTATGTGGAGTCATCTCCAAAGAACAAGCAGGGATTTAAAAAGACCTCGATGCTAAATCTGATAGATCTTGCTGGGTCTGAGAGGCTCAATGAGTTTGAGCATAGAAAAGATACTCTTGGAGAGACTGGGCACATCAACAAATCACTTTTTATTCTGTCCAATGTGATCAACAAACTTGCAGAGGGAAAGCATTCCCATATTCCTTATAGGGACTCTAAGCTAACCAGGATTCTATCAATGGCTCTAGGAGGAAACTCTCTCACTGCTATAATTTGTACAGTAACGCCTGCAAGTGTGAATCATTACCAGACTTTGTCAACTTTGAGGTTTGCTACAAGAGCGAAATCAGTGAAAAATAAGCCAACAATAAATGCTCTGAATCATGGAAATAACTCTGTAGAACTCTACAAGCGTCAGATGAATAAGTTGAAGAAGCAACTTGAAGATAAGGACAAGGAGCTCACTTTCTATGTCAAGCAAAATGACGAGATGCAAAAACACTTGGACAGTTTTCAAAATATCAACGAACACATTTTGAGCCAGATGAGTGCAAGAAAGTCGGAAAGTCCTCACTCGATTCTAAATGATGAGTTTTACAACTCTGAAACTCCAAACAAGTCCCAAAATGATAGTATCCGAGTAAAGGAGCTGCAGAAAGAATTAGATGTGTACAAATCAAAGTGTGATGAATACGAAGAGATCCATCTACAAAGACAAAAGCAAGATGCATTCGAGACAATGATTGTAAACATAGAAAATTCAATACAAGAAGAAGGAAACCAACGCCTTATGAATGGACAAAAGAGAATAGCTTGGGAAAACGAAGCGGGCATGCTGCTCTCACAATATCAGGATGACTTGAAGGAGATGCATGACAAATATATTCAACAGCTTTGAGTTTTATACAGGAAAAACTTACCAAAAATTCCAACAATTGATGATCTTTTCTTAGACTATAACCAAAAGATGGAGTGATATTTGAACATCGTCAAGCTAAACTCTTCTAATGCTACTATTGAGGAGCAAAACACTGAGCAAGAGCAAGACGATGACGAAGAAGATCAAATCTCTCTCAATGAATTCGAGGAGATTGAAGAGAGTGCGCTCAGAGTATTGGAAGACATACAAACTAAAATGATATTTGAAGACATTGTCATTGATTTCGGCAATATTCTAGACAATATTAAGCCTCAGGAAGATCCACAAAAAGTTAATAACATGCTGGTTGCATATTATGAAGAGATTCATGAAGTACTTCAGAAGAGACTTGATGAATGACAGGATATCATAGAAGAATATATGACTCATTTAATCGAGAACAAAAAGAGAGATTTACATGCTAAAATGGAGAGTTATACGATGGGAGAGGATATCAATGTAGATCCAAATAAAATTTCTGACTTGACTAAGAACGAAATAACTAAAATTACTGAAGACCATAATTCAAATTTAAAACAGCTTAGAAGACAATATGATGAATTTTTGAAATCTGCAGAGGCAGAATTCTTCCAAGTCCTAAAAATGATTAAAATTAACACTGCAAGTGCAGCAGGCCAGTATAATATGCACAATCATTCTGACCACTCTCAGAACGCACACTCTGAGAATACAGTGACTCTTGGAACAGAATCACCTGGTGATAAGAAGTTAGCTCAATCCCACTACCAGTCACAGTACTCAAGATATAAAAGTGAGAATTCTTCCTCCAAGAAGAGTCATGGAAGCTCCTATGAAGTGTCCCAAACCGAAAACAGGCCTGAGTACGAAACAGGGGAGCTTGCAAAAGTAGCCAGAGAGTTCCTCGCTCAGCAAGATAAAAACAATGGAATATCAACCACTGGAGAGTCCGATGGCAAGGAAAAACCGCTTACATCCTCTGATTCCAATATTGGAGGTCCTCTCAATGGAATTTATGATTACAAGCCGAACCATACAGGTGACAATAGGATCAAAGTCAATGATCTGATAAATAATGAGTATGCAAGGCAAGGGGTCTCTGTATTCGATTTCAACTACAAACCAGGAGATAAGGAAAATGAAAGTGACATCTCCTTCACAAGTAATATCGAATACGTTGATTATAACAAGGAAGCAATGGAAGGAGGATATCTGGGTCTCAGCGCGAACAAAATATCAAAAGGTAGCGATCATGAATCTGCTAGCTCATATTATGGAAGTACAAAGAAGCATCTAGAGTACCCAGGCTAAAAGAGACATGTAATTAATTCAGTAATTTATTTGAAGGTTGGGGTTTTGGGGTTTTGGGGTTTTGGGGTTTTGGGG